ATGCTGGCTGTGTCCCAGTTATGTCTGTTGCTGTTTTATTCCAACTATGAATTCAAGATGAATAGTGTTATTTGTATTTAATGATAAATAGAAAATACAATGCAAAGCCAAAAGAGAGATCTGAAGATTACTGGTAGCAAGTGTTTCTTTTTCCTTAAGCAATTTCCTTTCTTAAGAGAAGGTTGGTTCTCTACGATTCTTGAGAGATCTTAACTAAAAGTTGAATTAAATCTACATTCACTGCTATAAATTTAACAAATGGGGAAAAAATCACTGGAGAAGCAACTACAGACTGGTAAGTTTGCTGATGGAGAGGGCTGGGCAACTTGAAGGCACATCATAAGTAGCTTTTAGTTTGTACAAGGCCTGCACTCAGCAGCAAAAGCCTGAGGTCTGTTCACCTTGTGGGCAACAATTCAGTGTCAAGCTAGTGATGGGTACACAATGCCTGTCTCTTCCACCAAAAGCCCAGACTATTTCAAAAATGTTTCTGTTGCAAGGAAGAAATTATTGCAAACACCAGGACAGACATTCTAATGTAAGACTTGGTCTAATCACAAGAGGGGGAAAAGTGACTATGTGTACTCAACCAAGTTTCATGAATGTAGAGGCTTAAAATATTTGACATTTAGGCTAAAGCATGCTGAACAGTGCACTTCAAGGTGTCCCATAAAGTTAGAAGTAAAACTAGAGTTGGACGGCTCACGTTCTCTCTGCACATGCCTGCATGCCTCAATGCTGAGACCAATGCTGAGACTCCGGCTTTGGGCATAATAAGATTCTTGCCAGAACAGAGTTCTTGTCTCCTCTGCATGCCTGATTCTGTCAGTAAGAAAGTGAAATATGGAGCTCTAAAGTATAAGACATTTTGAATCAATAGCCTAGTTACTACCTTGTGTAGCTACAAAAAGATGTTAGGCAAATGTCTTGTGCACAGATTTGAAAAATCTTTTTCCATACTTATATCTGAAAACTAAGAAGGCGTCCTCCCCACTTTAAATTGTTATCTTTCCTAATGCTGACACAATCCTACTTGTAGCAGCATAAAGTGCCTCTAATCTCAGTCTTTTTAATGACTTGAAGCACAATAAGAAATACTGACCTGGTTTTATACTAAGGAATTTGAGTCTGGGGGACGTAGGAAAGTGCTGGGGCTGTTTGCAATGTAAACACTGGTGTTGGTGCTTGGAATGTCTGGGGACAGGAACCCTGCATGTAAACATCTGACTCCACCTTTAACTGCTGGCAGTCAGCCTTACCTTATGGCCAAGTTAAACTGCACACATTTTAGCTTTTTATTTTCAAAACCTAACTAGGCATAAATCCAAGTATCTTCTGCCATTTATTTGGTATTTTTTTGTACAGGTTTCTGAGTTTCTTATATACCTATCTGTTGCTTTTCCTGCCCCAGTTCAGAAAAGATAACTGGGTAATTCACATGTTATCTTCTTTCCTTTCCTTTCAAAAATCACAAAAGGCTAGATTAAAGATGCGAGATCCATTACTTTAATGCAGCTAAGTTTAAGAATAGGGCGATTTCTGCCTTTCCCCTGAATATGAGGTTCAGAAAAACGGAAAAAAAAACAAAACAAAACTCTTCTTGTACTAGAGTCTCAGGGTTGCTCAAGTAGAAACCAAATGAGGAGCCCTGCATGTTGCTGAGATCACTAGAGAGATAAGAGGGAAAAAAAACTAATAACATTTGCTGTACTCCTGAGGAATCAAATCTTCTCTATTACCTTTCCTCTTCTCCCCACCCATCTGCAAAAGACCTAAAGCCAGTCTTCGGCTTTGAAAGTTTATATTTTAAATACCCTTGAAATACAGAGGTATTTTGCAAACCTTAACTTCTTACGGGAAACAACACAAGGCAAGCGTCAACTTATAAATTACTCAGAAAAGCTGAATTCTAATTTGACCACTTGTTTGATAGTTTTTTAATGGGTCAAAAACATAAAAATCCAGGGAATTTAATGTTCCAGCAAAAGCCTTTATAAATTATTTAGGTATTATAATTCTTAAAAGCAAGATTGAAATCTTATGTGCTAAGATACCTGGATCCCCAAGGTCATTCTTTTTCTCATATTTTAATCAATTCTTCCCAAAGCAGGCACTGTGCTTACAAGTGTGCCTCCATAAATAGAATACCCAGTCAGGTTCTGGCCACGTCCTTCTCCTTCTTCAAAAGGAATGCAACTTAAGACTCAGGAGAGGGAAGTCAGTGAAAGGTGCTGCTGATAAAAGTAAAACAGGACTGGCTTTGTCAAAACCACTCCTAGCTACCTTTTATGCCCAGGGAACACCTATAATTCTTTAAGTTGTATCAAAAACATTCCACATTTTTAGGTTCTGGGATTAAATTTTAAACCTGTATTCAGTTCACATCTAACTAAGTTTCAAAAGCTGCACCAAATCTACTAGGCTTTTTTTTTTTTTTAATACTCCGCACTGCATGCTCTGTCTATATGCATGCATTGGATAATAAATATTAAATATGGGGGGGCACACAGAATCCATAAAATTAAAAATGAAACCAAACCGAACATTAAAAAATAGTACATGGTAGCTAGAGAAATTAATAAGGGCTAAAAATAAATTTGAGGTAACAACAGTGGCCCAACACCACTGATCTGAAATATCTGTAAAATTCAAATAAGTGTTTGGAGATTCAAGTAACAAACCATCTGCTCCAACTTGGTCAGACTTCCCAGCCTTGCTGAGTTTTCAGTCCATGAGCCGGCACTCACACAGCTCCTTGTAAATCCTCTTCCGTACTCGGGGCATGTCCTCCTGGGAAAACTGGAAAGGCTGCTCTAAGGCGAGGCACTTGCAGTACTGCAAAGGTCCCAGAAAACACTTAAATGTCATGTGGAGTTACATACCAGCCCAATGTATTTAACCAGGTGCAGAACTAACAGAATAGGGCCTAAGGCATTTTAAAATGTGTTTAAACTTGTTAGAGAACATTTTCCTCCAAATTATAGTCAACTTTCCAGGCAAGTATATAGCCTGGGATTTCCCCTCCATCCCCACTTAATACTGTGAAAAGCAGAAACTGATGAAGAGGCTCCAATTCTTTTCAAGGTACAACCTGATGAGAATGCAGCCAGACCTAGCATGGCCTTTAAGTGAGAACTTGAATTTGTTTACAAATCCCAGATAGTCATGAGTCATATGAGTGAGCAGCCTATGTTCCAAGATCTTTGCAATTCCCTAAATTCATGGACTATATACTACAATTTCCTTCATAAATATAGTGTGTAATGAATTTTTCTGTAGTCTTTTAGACCACGAAGGGAGCCTATAGCATAAGAAAGCAGAGTTTTGAATGTGGCCATAATTTAAAATCTAGTTTTTACTTTGTGACTAAAGACCATTTGCCAACAGTTAAAAATATATAGTAAATTCTGCAAATGCCAAGGCTCTGTGATACGAACAAATTCAGATCAGTCTCCAATGTGTCTTACGAATAATCTCTGATAAGACATGGATGATATCAATTCATTCTTGACCTATGAAGGTGGTTCTTCCCTAGTGGTAACATCTGAAAATGCAGAAATTACTGCTTCTCAACAATAAAGGGAGGGAAGGAGGAAAAGTACTCTAATTAAACTGTACCTAGTACCATGTACCCATCACAGGGACTCCTATCTCTCTCTAAACCCAACGAGTTTAATTCACAGACTGTAAATTCTGAAAAAACAATACTTCTTTACCTGGAGCACAAAGACTCCACAGTCACTGTCATTTTTCTGTTGTGGAATACACTAAAGGAGAAAACAAAATGACCATTAAAATAATATCAAGTACTCCTCTTCAGATAAGAAAAGTTGTTTTTATGGAGAATAAGGAAGAGACAGGAAACCTGTCTCTATCCAGTACAGACGATATATACCTCTGGTATTTAAAGAGTTTGATTTTATGGAGGCATCTGGCCACAAGAAAAGGGCTATCAATCAACCACAATTTATACAACAACATTTTGCCTAAACACGAGAAATGGGAAATCAAATAAAATCCTATTTTAAAACTTCTATTTGGATAATTAGTTTTGCTGTAAATTCACTGACAATGGAATCAAAATGGAATTGTGAATCAGAACAAATGCCTGGACTCTGAATATTCATATAGTAACAATCCTACTTAGCAGTATTTTCATCTCATATTATACAATTCCGTCTCACTCTTTGAAAGAAATCACAAACAGTATGTTTTCAAAAGAACTGGTTACTGTATTCTGCCTAAAGTGGGACTATGATACATCTTGACTAAATTTAGGGAGAATACATGGATATTTTCATTGGGTAAATTCAGAAAATTCACCAAGTTCAAGTCTAGTTACTAGCTAGGCCATTTAAAACATAAAACTTAAGCTTAAATTTAAAATTTAGCATTTGGTTCAAGGATGAACAAATAAATCTGTCCCTTAACCTTTAGGTTAAGGTTTGTTTTAAGATTCTGCCTCCTAAAATTGTGTCAATGCTCCCAACAGACACCTGAGTTTAAGGATCTGACCCTACCAATAGCTTTAATGGCCTTTGGGGAAGTTCACACCTGGGCTTCAGTTTTCTCATCTATAGAATAAAGATGATGCTTCTCTCCTAAATGACCTGCCTACTTCACAGGCTGTAAGGATCAAATGAGATCATGCAAGCAAAAACACTGTGAAAACAAGAAAACCGTGACCATATAACCTAAGATACTTGTATTTGTAACAGAATTGAGAGGCTATGTCTGGGGACTCTGCCCCACCCCTGCCCGCCCCAGCTTTAAATGTCTATGGGCCAAACAGAGTGCTGCTTCAAGATAGTGTTCATACTGAAGCACTCAGGCCACTGTCTTGCACTCAGGCCACTGTCTTCCCCAAAATGCCTGGAGAGTAGCCCAGTGCACTTGCTCCTTAGTAAATCCAAATAGTCATTTCAGGATTTCTCTGGGTTTATATGAGTCATCTGGAAATAAGAACAATGAGACAAGAGGCAGGTGCCACCCCCAAAATT